AAAGACAAGGAAGTATAAGAACCAAAAATATTGGAGAGCTTTATGACGAAAATTTACCTTCGTATAATACCAAATCCATCTCAGGTGAACTTTTTCTGAAAGACTTGGACCTTTAATTTCTTTTTAACTTTGATATCAACACTTAAAAAAATCTGGTTTTAATTTTTCTAAATATCAATACTTTTGTCCTCAAGTAAAATTTATTTATTTTTAGAGACGATTCAAATTGTTGTCCTTGAATTTATAATCGCTGAACGTGATATTTTATTGACAAAAAGCTTTTGCTTGTTTCAAAACACGTTTTTTTTTAACCCAAAATTCATTAAATATATCTAAATACAATGTATAAAGGGAGATGTAGGTCACGTGTGTTTATATTAAATATCTCTATATAACAGGTACGCCTAGTCTTATTGCGTTGGAGCAGTTTAGTATTGACGAATGTATTTTTTCTGTATTAAAGCATGCGGATAAGTTACATTGTATGTAATACAGAATCTTACAATATGAACACCACCCAACTTTTGTTTGTATCCCTTTTTTTTGGGGGGGGGGGAGGGAGGGGTTGTAATGGGAATGGGGTAGGGATTAAATACATACATGTTATCCCTTGCTAAAACACATTGTAGCTACATCAATTGTTCTCTGTTTTATATATTACTACTGTCTATTACGGAGTTGAGAATGACGTCTATTGTCACTGAACTAGTACACATGTTTGTTAAGTAGCCAGGTGAAGAACGTCTCCGGGTGCAGGATAATTTGCTGTATTGAAGATTCATTGGTGGCCTTTGTCTGTTTTCCACTCTTTGTTCGGGTTGTTGTGTCTTTAAGACATTGCCTGTTTTCATTCTAAATTTTACTAAAGCTGCATGCATAAAAACTAATACTAAATGTATATAGTTATGCTACTTAAAATGATTTTTCAAACCAAATTATGTGCTTCATTGCTTGTTTCCTATTTATTTTTATACTAGTACCATGAGTACTCTGATTTTTTGTTGTTTGACTTATATTTTCGTATGTTCTAATTATGAAATTAGAACGAACTAATAATGAAAAATTAATATTGGACCAACTGTACGCATTTAAAAGAGAGATCTTTGTATTGCCATTTTTATTTATATTTCTTTAAATATATGTGATGGCACTTGATCACAAAACAAACACAGCACGTTTACCATTCCTTGTTATTATATATTAAAGAAAATACATAAGAAAATGCCTATACCAAATCAGGAATACGACAGTATAAAAATATTCATTCATTTGATGTGTTTGAGCTTTTGATTTCGCCATTTGATTATGGACTTTCCTTTTTAGATTTTCCTCGGAGTTCAGTATTTTCGTGACTTTACTTTTTCAATCTATGAAATATACCACACAAAACCATGTTTTAAAAACAGATTACACTTTTCTTCTGTCTTCTTCTTTTTTGGAAAGCAAAGTCAAAAAAAATATATAAATAAAACAAGTTTGTAGTTTAAATGCAAGGCATACCATAAAAGGTATAAACATTATAATGTTATAATTACCTATATAAAGAGAAAAAAGGATTTAAATGTGGACGTATGTACGTAATAGAATATGTGTCATAAAAATCAACGCAGACAAGGAAATTGTGGAAAAACCATGTAATCATGGTTTACCCTTTGTAGCAGTAATGAATAGTTTATACAAGGAAGTTGTTAAATGTTTTTACAAATTTCTACCCTTATATAAAGCTTAAAAAATCAACAGTACGTCGTTTGTATTCCTTCAAACATTTTTGTAATTTTACGTGTATCGTATAATACGGTGCTGACATGATATATAAACAAATTATTTATTCTACATTGCTATTTTTTTATTCATTAAAGACTAAATTGTCAACTCCTCATAGAATGTTTATCTTACTGTAATTTGGATATTGAATGTTATGTCCCTTTGACCACATACAATGTAGCTCATCAAGTTTTTAGATCCTATTCACCTTTGTTTTTCCAAATTTCACTTTGTTTAATCCAAAAAGGAACTTCGGACGAACACAAATATTTCAAGTGTTATTCTGCATGTTCTGATTGTTGTTCGCGTGCTAGCAAAGTTAAAGTCCAATAAATTTATGTCAGTTTGTGGATAATAAAAACTATAAGTTAACGACAGAGAGGAATGTTGGGTTTATAGTTCATTCTTTTTGGAAAAAAACAATTAATGCGTGGTCATATAGTTATCAATTAATATTTTGTTGTATTTGTTCATGTTGATACTTTCTTATAACGTTATTGCCACAAGAGCATTCTTTCCGTGAACGTTGTCGGTGTATTTTCTTGTCATATAAGATGATTGCATGTATAAGCAAACATTACATTTAATTCGAGAAATTTGTCATATTTGTGAACAATATTATAAAACTTTGTCTAAAATAATCCTTGTGGCGCTGATTCTTTGCAGTAATTGCTTACAATATTTGAGTATTTTCAAAAACAACTTCATGTTTAAGGGTCAATGGACAGTAAATGGGATGTTTTAGATTTTGGTAAAATGTTGCATATTACTTTGGGATATTAAACTGACTGAATATCGAATAGTAATTCAGTTAACTGTCATACTTGATAAAATAAATTGTATGCAAATTCTTTAAAAAAAAATGTGTTAAAGAATGTAGTTAAATAAACCCGTCCTTACTTCTGTTTTGGGTATACACATGTCTATGTGGTAGTATTGGTAAAATCAAACACAAATTTGTTTAAAGGGTTTAGTTATAAACTTCGTCACGTTGAAACGCAGTACTACGGGATTTTGGAAGAGCTATCTCCCCAAACACTGTGTGCACAGTTCGTTCCAATAAACAATCATATCGATAAAATTGTATTTTTAAAGTGTTTGTTATATCCTCAAAATGAATTAGGTTGATTGGGCCGAAACGATCAGGTGACACAGTTATCCATAAGAAATAAAAACATAGGGTTTCAAACTCTACTCTGAATAAGAATAAGGAGGATCAAGGTCACTTTTCAAAATGATGTTTTAGATTTAAAAGGGGTCAGGGTTAAGGGTTAAATTATGATCCTTGCTTGTGTGCAATCTACTCTGACAATTTAAATGATAAAAATAAAAGAAATATGTTTAAACTTTTAAGTTGTTGAGATGAAGAAATGAAACATTTTGTCAGTATTTATTAGTTCTTATGAAAGTTATAGACCTTGAAATGTAATAATTTTAGATTCATTGATAAAAACTTTAATCAGGTACATACATACTAATTCAGGGCATGAGAGACAGAAGGTCAACCGGAAGTGATCTTGTCTAAATCGGAAATAGTTCTTTCTGTACTTATATTAAAGAAAACAGCCTAGCAAACATTTAATGTCGTAATCAGTGTACGCTTACCTCTACAAGATCCCTAAAAGAACCTTCGATAAATCGTGAATGGCTAGCTTATTATATAAATTATCACAGAAAAATTCACGAATGAAATCAGTTTACAATAACCTTTCATATTACACCAAAAGTAATATTTCATGAACCGGAAATATCTTACTGCCTCTCTGCCTGTGGAAATTGATTATCTTTGTCCATATAAAAGTATTACAAACTTGACTTTTTAGAAAGTGGAAACTATAACATGACTTTTTGTTAGACATGTTTTTTTCAGCAAACCTACGTTAATTTTTCTTTGAGTAATTGTGGTGTTTTTTTTATGAAATTTACTGGTTATAGAATCAGTTCCACTTAAATGTTTATATTTGTGAATTACCCAATTATAATTTTAAACTTTGCAGCTACAGTGTTTATGTAAATTTAAGCCATCAAGTAAACAATCAACCATTTATATTTATATAAATATTTTGCATTTTTCGGGAAGGGATCTAATTTGATAACAACGAAATCGCCTTCTATCCCGAGCTGTTAAACTACAATCTTGTTAATGTACAAACATCTGGAAAAGAGGTCCACAATATTTGGTTTTAATCTAGTTTATTGAAAATAATATGTAAACGTGTAAACTTCTAATTAATCATAAAGTGTTGAGTGTAAAATTTATCAACAGCAGAACAGTAGAATAATAAAACTTATTTTCCCGTTAACACTTTATGCATGTTTATACACATGCGGTCCTCTTAACATCCTGATATGGACTTAGAAAGTCTAAGATGTTTATAAGAACTGCTTGTTAGAAAATACAATCGAATTAATTAGAAATATTTTACAGCAGAATTTGGTCCATCTTTTCTACAAATCAAACAAATTTTGCACTGACCTCTAATCGCCTGAATTAAGGATTTTCAGGTCATAACTCAGTTTTTTATCAATCAACTCACCAATCAATATGTAGAACTTGTTTATTGAAGCTATGCAATCATTTTGGCAATTAATTTACCAACCAACAAGAAACTAATCTATGTTTAAATAAAGGAAAGAACCAATTGTCGTACAACTAATAATTTGTAAAAGATGTATGATTTTTCTTACTTACCCTGGAAAGGCTTTCTAATTGTTCTATCCAATATTAATTCTACCAATTTTCGGTGAAAAAAATTCATATAAGTTGCACTTTGTAAATACAGCTATTTCACAAATAACGCCTCTTTTGGTGAGATATATACTATTCATTGATATTTTGTTTTATTTACGATCTGGTTCACAGGCATGATCTCTATATTTCTTCTCATAGCGACATAACTTGGAAAGGTTACCAGTATACACAAACATGAATAGCGGCCAACTTAAATTCTGAGGAACACTAAAACTGAAACGATGGATTTTACAGAATTTTAGTATAAGTTTAAACAGTTAGATGCTTGGGGCATTAAAATGTTGAAACTATGCCGAACAGCTCTGAAGTGCATTTGATCTTACGATTGTAGGATATAATTTTTAATGACACTGCATTGTAGAAGTGGTACAGTTGAAGCCACAAAAGGAGTTTCTTATTTTATTCAAATCAAGTAAAGTAGGTATTCAGCAACATGTCCAAGCTGTACATACTATTAACATAACCCTTTTATATTTCTTTTCAGATTGATGAACGAATCCAAAAGTATGTCGATGCCAAATGAAGAAAAAGCGAACTTTGCACGAATAAATAGACTTCTACATAGAGCTGCAATTCCAGCAGTTAGACATGAGTTTGATAAACAATTTCACCCCAGTGTATTAAAATCAACCCTGAACAGAAAGCGCATTAGCTTAGAAAAATTAAGAAAACAAAGAGTCATCAACCATTATCAATGGACTTTGTTATTTCCCAATAATGGTAAGGAATGCATTTACCTACGTCGTCAATGTCGCAACCTACAAAAACAGTTTCAATGTCAAACTGGAAACTCATATAAAATATTTCATAAAAAGTATGAATGGATGGAAAGCAATTACAAAATGTTAAGTATTATCATCATCATCGGTCACGGTGTGTGATTCCCTTATTATCACCTTGATATCAGTTTTACCAATTCCAACATCTTTTCCTTGACACCGACATCGCCGAAGTTCTCCTTGCAAAGATATATACGACGATTACCACTGAGGATTCGAATCATCTAAATTCGTCTAGGTTTTCTTTGGGTTGTGTTGTTTCTCAATCTTTAATTTTCTCTATAGAGTTTTGATTGTATATATAAGTATAAATATAAGGTGATGTTTTATGATTGCCAACGAGACATCTATCCACCAAGTTTCAAATGAAGTGGATGTAAGCAATTATAGACAACCGTACAGCGTTCAACATTGAAAAAGACCCATGCCGTATGGTCGGCTTTTAAAATCCTCGACAAGAAAAATATGACTAAAATAAATTGAGAAACTAATGGCTTACTAAACTTATAACAAAACAGTTCACGAAAAAAAAAATATTATGACAAACATAAACCAAAGACAACAACTGAACTACAGTGCACATAAAGAATGTTTCGAGAATGTTTATGTGTATGAGCGCTTAGCCCTCTCTTAACAGTTTCATTTCAAAAATATAACTACAATTAAGGTATTAAATGAATCAGAACAACACGAACTCGACCTGCTGAAATGACAAAATTAAAATCAATTATTCTTATTATTCAAGCATTGTTAAATAAAACCGATTTACTTTAAATTTGTAAGAAAATAACTTAACAAATATAACTTCAACAGTTGACTTATATATATATATGCTTACAATGAATACGGGTATTTCAAAATAGTAATAACTTTTATACATATCAACTTTACTGAGACATAAAAACCTGTCAAATAAGCCAATGTTTAGTCAAATGCATCCAATGTTGTGAAAATCAAAACGTTTTAATACTATAAGCATCCAAAAGAGAAGAATAGTGCCATGATTTATAAATTTCAATTACTGTTTGGAGCACATTGCTGTAAACATATAACTGTAATTTTACTATCTGGACTCAATGTGGTCTTATCAATTATTTCTATATAATATTTAAGTCCTTACTAGTTAACATATTTTCTCGGTTTCATAACAGAAACAGGAACCCCAAAATGTTTTCTTCCGTCATAACTCTTTAAGACTTTTATTGCGTTTTAGGTAAGGGTATATAAGAAAATGTATATTGTTTTTTTCCATCAATTAAAGTAATGAAATTTATGTTGGTGAATTAACGATGATTATATTAGATTTACCTATTTCTTTGTTGTAGCAGCACCGTCATCATTAGACTTTGATCTTCCTTTAATGATATGTCTGTTGAAAAACATTACCGAACAATATGAATCAGAATCAGAGGTATTTCCTGCGGAAACCGACACAAGTGAAGCTGCAAGTCTGTTTAGATTGAAACATTATCGAAATAAGATAGTACATAGTAAGGGATTCACTTTGTCTGACAAGGACTTCAAGAAAGACTGGGAACATATTACTGATGTAAGTTTTAAAAATCTTGATTATACAAAAAAAATATTTTCAGAATTGGTTGTGCATTTCAAAATACTTTTTATTTCTAAAATGAACTAGAACCAGAATTCATACACAAGTTGTACAACAAATCAACAACCAAACTTACCAAGCGTCAATTTTGTTTCGTTTAGATCATCTACCACCTTGATTTGTTTTAAATTCCTTTTGTTTTTCTTAAATTTTTCTTAAATTTTTCGCGTTGAATGACTTATTGGTCAACGGTTTACAATGGAACAGTCAGTGTCGAGTACATAGCAGATGAATTATTTATATATTTGTCCATAGCATGAAAAGAAAGTGATACAAATGCACATATAAGTAATGGATCAGCCAAACTTGGTATATAGAAATAGTTTGGGTGTACATCTGATTGTCATGAATAGCATGGCCATCGCCCCCATTTTCAAAAATAATATACAAGAAATATTTTTAGAACTTCGGATAGTTGTCAACAAAATCAATGTACGTGTCCGTCTGAAAGGAGTCATAATACATGGTAATATAAAGTATAGATTATAGGCACTTACGTTGTTCATCATCTTAATTACGTGTTATAGTGTTCTTTTATTTGTCGTTGTAAATTATTAATTTCACTGTTTAGTCTATTTGAAATATATTCATCTGACGTGGCTCGGTACTTAAACATCCCGTCATCGTTTTATTGTGTTATGGTAAGTTTTTGCATTCCTGTGTTTCGTTCTTGCAAATGTGCTTTATCTATATGAGTTTTTGTTTTTCTTAATTTGCATATTTCTTTTTTGGTTTTACAGTGATTAAAATTATATCAAAATGTTGTTACTGTACCCCTTTTTTGCATTTTACGTTGATGTATGTTTGTTTTGTTCACACAACATTGTCAATATAATAGACTGTCTTACAATTGAGAGGTTTAAATAGCTTCATGTATAAAGCCATGTTTAATCGACCATTTTATACATAAGACAATGTCTGTACCAAGTCAGGAATAAGACAGTTGTTATCCATTCGTTTGATGTGTAAACCTTTTGATTTTGCCTTTTGATTGTTGACTTTTCGTTTTGAATTTTCCTTGGAGATCGGTGTTTTAGTATTTTTACTGTTTACTAGCTAGCAAATGAAAATAATCCTGTATTATTCGTAAGTGTAAGCTTGTTTTCAAATTTCGAACGAATTAATGTCGGTTTCTAGCTATGAGTTGCAGATCATTAGTCATATTACAACTATAGTCATTTCAATCACACAATGTCCGTATTTTCATATTATTACCAAGGTACTGGCTATTGAACTGGTTAAATTATCTTGCTATCTGAAGTAGAGTGTTTATGATAAAGGGTAAACAAATATATGTATTTCATAATCAAATATTCAAAATGTATTTAGATATTGCAATGATTAAAAAACATCTTTCAGGCGATTTGCAAACTTGGTGGTGAAAACTATAGAGAGACGTGTATGCAACTCAAAAGCAGTCCACTGGACGACAACGAGAAAGATTTACAGTTAGAAATCAAAAAGATTGCGAAAAGTATCCGAGGTAACTCTAGTTTAAGTGTACGATATCAATTTATAAAGTACAATAATATAGCAATTGCTATTAGCTTTTTTCATATATGGCAAATTAAATATGTTCTTTGGTAATTTTACGCACTTATTACGTTAACGTTTTCTTTGATGGTTTCAACAAGTTAAAAATTATTTGTTCGTCTAAATCAGTTGCAGTAAAACGATCTAAAAAAACCTTTTAATTTATAATAGTCGCTTGTGATTCAGTATACAGGTATTAAAAAGAATAAAGGAAATGGTATAGGTCATTTTTATACTAAAATGGCTGATATTATCTAGATATTAAGACATTTAAATATAAAATCGTGCGAGATACATGAAAGTTTAGGTTATTATTTTAGTAGTATTTTTTGTCGTTTGCATTTTTTCACCTTGAAGTATCTAAACAATACAGCTATGGATTTTAACATTTGAAATTGTTGAATTAAGTTATATGAAGCATACATATCCAGCATTAAAGCATTTGTAACAATTATTAATTGCAGAACCAGACAAGGAAGAATATCTTTATTGGATTGAAGATACAGATAGATATTTTCCTAATTCGGCTGCTATCAAAAAGATCACAGAAGCATTTGATGAATGTAAACACCACTTTGTAGTAGTATCAGGAAAACCCGGAACAGGAAAAACAGCTCTTGCTCGTTATGTTGCTTTGCATCTTAACAAAAACAACGATTTTTCTATTGTTCCTGCAAACAACCCAGATATTATAAAAAATCACCTTGCGCTAAGATCTCAGATGAATATTACAACACATAAACTTAAAATCAAAAAGATGCCCGTGGCAACTGATCATCACAAAAAGAAAAAACAAAACATCACAAATGAACCTGCCACGAAGAAAAAACATAACAAACAAACAAAACAAGAAAAGGTCCTTACACTTGATGAATCGCATGGTATCCAAACTAATCATACTAAAACAATATTTGTAATTGATGATTTTCTCGGGAGACATACCGTTAACAAACGAGTTACAAATGCATGGAAGCAATTATTCTATGAACATTATTTTTGCCCAAGCAATGAGACCGATTCTATCTATATCGTGGTAACATGCAGAGAAGAATTTAGAAATTCAGATCAGTTAAAATCATTGGAAACATTATATCAGTATTCAGAATATAACGTATCCAGCGATTTGCGGGAAACCATGGATCAAAAGCTAGATATTGCATCGTGTCACATGAACCCGGAAACAACTCAATTACTCTTTGCTGAACTAGATATTCAAAAAGTAGACAGATTTTATACTCTCTGTCTTTTATACTCACAGCTACATCACACCACCGAAAATATGAATTTCTTTAAAGATCCTAATTCTGTGTTCGAACAGGAATTTGAAGAAATACGAACACTCAGTGAACCATGTTATATTGGTCTTGCCCTTCTTACCATATTTGATGGAAAACTGAGCAAACCACTGTCTGATCAAAATATTGAAAAGTTAGTGAAGGAATTGTGTGTAGAATGTAAATTATTCAAAAATGATATGAAGTTATCTCATATACAACAAGAGCTTGATAAAGTCGTTGGGAGATATATAATAGACGAGGTAGTATCATATTCTATGGTTCATCCTGAAATTTATGATATTCTACTAAACTATTTTATAAAGAAAATTCCAGTATCCTTAATTGCTTTCGGAAGTAATGATTTTCTACAAACTCAAGTAAAACTTGAAGGATTCGCAAAAGATCCTAATTTGGCCAAGAACTATGCACAATTATATTTTAATCGATTGATAGAAGATATCAAACAGAAGAAATTTGATAACGCTTTCCGGAATAAGCATGTGGCAAACATTGCGTATCGAGAAGAATTGATTCGGCATGTAAAAACGTCTGATAAAGTTCTACAGATATTAGCTTCTTGCTGCTTGCCATTGATTTTGTCCGTAGAAAATGATTTCAGTGAATTCTTAGACCTTATCTTGAAAGAACGCGAGAAATTGAGTTTGTCCCGAGAAATAGTGGTTGCAAGACAAGATGATTTCGACGTCATCGATTATGACGATCGAGAATTGTTGAAATTAGAATTATCGAATAACGACGAGGAGATTATTTTAATGTTTGCATGTTTATGCGGAAGCGTACGTGCCGTTAATTTGCTTCTTCACCTCGAATATTATATAAATTATCAAAATTCTATGCAAAAAGCACCCATTCATCTAGCATGTTTACGTGGAAAAGAAGAGGTTGTCAAAGTACTGTTAGGCATACAATCCAAAAAGAGGATGACGGCAGTCACGAATCGCTCGAAACCGACTGCGATATTGATATTCAAGATGTTAACGGTCTAACAGCTCTTCATATGGCTTGCAGAAATTGTCATACAAATGTCGTAAATCTATTATTAAACAAGTGGAAGTGTTCATTGAGCGAAGCAGACGAACAGGGCAGAATCGCGTTATTCTCAGATAAATTTAGCGTAACAGACAACCAGGGTAGAAATGCATTGCATTTAGCGTTCGTCAACGGTTCAGAGGACATAATCAAAATATTGTTTCAAGCAATTTCATTATCTGACACTACTGGTCTGGGTCAACATGCTGATACAAGTCATGAAAAAATGCATCTATGTAATCTGATAAACACACAAGACAAATATGGAAAGACATTTCTTTTGTCAGCCTGTGAAAACGACAATAAAAATTGTGTTGAATTTCTACTGAAATACAGATGTTGCAATATTGACCTTTATAATGATCGTAATGAAACACCGGTCTTTCGTGCTTGTCAATATAATAATACAGAATTAGTAGACATTCTAATAAAACGTAATGCAGATGTTAATATCAAAGACATTGCCGGTCGAACGCCATTACATGTCTCTGTAGAAAACAAAAATGAAGATATGGTGAAAAGTATATTGAATAATAAGAACTGCGACGTGAATGCTAAGAATGATGAAAATGATGACTCTTATTCTGCTCTACATTTTGCCGTTTTTAGAAAAAATATTAACATTGTCAAAATCTTACTAAATTCAGAGTGCAATGAAAAGTGTGACATAAATTTAACTCATTTGAAACAGAAAACACCATTAATGTCAGCGATTTCAACTGGCTTTACAGATATGGTCAAACTTTTAATTGAAAGCGGTTGCGATTTGAATAGATATGATAGCGAGGGCAGAAAAGCCTTTCATGTTGCATGTGAAAACAATTACAATGGAGATATTATCGAACTTTTTTTAGAACGCAAAGACGACTTTGACGTAAATGATGTGAACAGTGTGCTAGGTCGAACCGGTCTACATCACGCGGTGACTGGCAACAATATAAAAGCCGTCAAACTTTTAATGAAAACAAAAATCAACATTAATATGCAAGATAAATATTTAGAAACAGCCATACATCATGCATATCGTTGTAGCAAATTAGAAATAGTAAAAGAACTATTAAAAAGTCAGGAATGCAGTATAAACCTGCCTGATAACACGGGGAGGAATTTATTGCATATTGCGTGTAAAAATAATGACATATCAATGGTGAGAACCTTATTGAGAAAAAACTGCGCAATTAATGCTCGAAACGAATTAGACAGAACACCATTGCATATGACCATGAGCTCAAATTATATGGATATATTTACCATGCTAGTCAAGAAAGGAGATCTTAATGATAAAAACTTGAATGGTCAGACTTTGCTTCATATTGCATGCCGGGAGCAACGCATGGGTGCAGTAAAACTTATATTACAGAACGCATGCGATGTTAATATTCAAGATAACTCGGGTAAAACGGCGTTACATATAGCAGCCGAAGGAGATAATCCGTCGATTGTAAGCGAATTATTAAAAACAAAGTGCAATGTAAATCAGTGCGATATAAGTGGAAAGATAGCACGTTCTTATGCGCGGGAAAATCGCAACAAAGAAATAGACAAACAATTTATGGTAGACACTGGAGATGAAAAGAAGTAAAGCAAAATTATGAAATACAAAATAGATACATGTTATGATAAATTATAAGCAGAATTATATATTTTCAGGCAAGGTTTATAAAAAAAATAGAAACTTATCAAATACATGAAATACTTACCTTTATAATAAACATCATAATGTAAATTTGGTTGGTTGGATATATGGGATTAACGTCAATGAGACAACCACTGAACGGAACAATTTATCCGAAAGACACCAAGGGTCAACATACAGTCTTGAACAATAGACAAGTATATATATACACAATAAAATTAAAGGTAATACCTTTCCACATGTGAAATTTATAATATTCCTGACCGGTTCTGGTCGTTCCTTGACCTTACGCAGAATTAGGATAGAATAATGGTTTAATAACTATCAGTAACCATTAATGAAAACAAATATTAAGAGACATCCCAATGTAATGCATATCGATGCCAAATCATCCTTTTGTTTTTTGTTTTTTGAATTGTTCCGTCCTGAACGAACAAATTAAATATATAAAACCAAACGTAAAGTAAGCAACAATCGATTTATCGATTCAAACGATACTAGTATTTAGACAAAACATTGAATTGTGCTATTCATTTTATACCACTTTATATAAAGATAAGACAATGTGGTATCATTGCCATTGAGACAACTATCCATCAAAGTTCAAATAAAGTGGATCAAAGTAATTAAAGGCAATCGTAAGGCCTTCATCAATGAGAAAAACGCATACCGTATAGTCGGCTAAACGAGGCATGACAATTACGAAACAATGCAATTGAGAAAACTAGCGGGCTGATTAACTATATAACAATTTACGAAAAACTAAAATGACAAGCATATACAAACTACAACCACCAAACTACAGGTTCCTGACTTGGGACACACACATACATATTGTGGCGGATTTAAACATGTCTGAAGAGCACCAACCATCATACCTGGGACAGTGCTGTCATATTACAATACAGGAACAAACTTTTAAACCATGTTGACAAATGCTTTACCCATAAGATCGGTGCAGAGCAGAAAAAAACATCTAACAAAAACACAGACTGGTCCGACGTAGAAAGGCATTTATACATCCCTCACTAGTCAAGAGACATAGAGTACAGATCTGAAAGTAATCGCACTTACTGACAGCTAGGGTAAACGCCAATAACAAATAATGAAACTCCTGTATCTTAGTCTAAAATATCAATCGGTATGCATCCAACATTCAATGGATCTAGTATAAAGACGTCATTCAAAGTAACAGAAAACATTACCTTGTGAAATGCCAAAAATAAAGCTATCGCCAGATAGTTTTACCGTGAATGCATATAATTATGTGTATAACTTAAATATTTACTATCATGGTGTTATGCTCGGTTTACAACATCCCTTTAAACTAAAGAAATGCTTTTCTGTTTGGAAGACGTCTTTCACAGCTACAGTTCTAAGTACATATATATTGTTTTCTTTCTTGTAAAAACAACAAATCTAATTACTAAAGACTTTAAAGGACAGACACCGCTCCATATTCAATGCAAAACGCAACGTATAGAGGCAGTTAAACTTATTTTGAGGTCTAGGTGTGATGTAAATGTTTAAGATAAGTCGGGTATAACGGCGTTGCATATACATTGTTCATGTAGCAGCAGAAGGATTTGAATTGCGATTATTAACGAACAATTCAAAGTAAAATGTAACGTACATCTGTGTGTTAACAATGGAAAGGCCGCGTAATTTAACGCGCGTGCGAATCGGAACTATGATATAGTCATACAATTTTAATGAAAACAGTGGCAACAAAAGAGCAAAAAGAATAAAATGAGAAAAATATTTTCATAAAATTCATAAATCACTTTGGGATAATTTCGGACGAATCAACATGTAACACGTGTAGCTACTTTTATAATAAATAACAATATGTCAGCCTGTTTACAAAACATTCGAGTGAACTATGTGATAAAGCTTCATGATAGAGCAACCGTAAAAAAAAAAGACTTCTTGACTAAAAAAATGTTTTATCTATTTTTGTTAATATTCCCAATATTGATTGGGCAAAAGTATTGTAATATTTTACCCAGGTAAAATACTAGTATAGACTAAGCACAACCTCTGGTGAGATTATGAGTATAGGGCAAGGCAATTGTCTTCAATGAGGCATACGATTTAACATCACGTTTCGGCTGATTTTTAAGTTTTCTTATAAATCCCAAACAGATAAGGTCACGTTTGTCATAGAATAATTGATGTTTCATTAGTGTCCAGTGGCAAATATTTCATGCATGTTCACTACGAGAACACATTACCAATTATAATTACAATAGGTAGGTCATGTAAAGGCCGTTCAGGTTGAACGTCAAGAAGCAATTATGTTTTTCGCATTCAGGACGAGAACAAAGTAATAATATGCAATACATAGGTTCTTCGAAGAAGACAGAATTGCTGAAGACGCTTCAGAGAGTTGTTTGGAATGGTAAATATAATATGCCGAGGGCATGGAACTTACCTTCAAAGAGGCAGACGATTGTTCGTCCCCTTATTCACCTGATTGTGGATTTTTCTTTTTATCAATCCCTAACAGATAAGGTCACACCTGTCATACATTGATTGATGTTTCATTTAAGTCCAGTGACAAGTATTTCATGCCTGTTCAGAACGATAACAAATTACCAGTTAACAATACAATAGAAAGGTCCTATTATGGAAGACTTTTGGAGAAAGGTCGATCAGATTTGGACTTCCTCTGAAATGAGGATATATTGGATATGGACAGAAATGTTTCTGTGCAGCATACAACCTACGGACTCCTCAAAGAGTTCTTGCAAGTTATCTTATCATGCAGAGAGCGCGGCACTGTCTTTACAGGAGGCATCAGCTTAAATATTTCCATTCTGAACAAACCTGACTTTGTAATTTTACAACCAACACAGCCAAACAGAACTCCAATTTCTTTAAGTTTCGTTATTTATATACTTTCAATGTACAAATGTATCGCAGTCTTTAAAAACGTTTTTGTTTTGAAACAAAAAAGCGAATATTTTAAATTCGGACATGTCTTTGGATTTGTACCTTCCTGTTCTGTGTGTATTTGTTTGTTTGTTTCTTTTTTTTTGTAGTATATTTTTGAATGGGTTGTTGTTTTCTTTTTTTTTTTATTATTATTGGTGGAGGGGGTGGTTGTTGTGCATATTTTAATTGTTTTTATTTCCTTCGTATTTTGTTCTCAGATCTTTAATATATCTGTTTAATTCAAAACATGTGTAGACTTGGGGTTAAATAAGAGCTAGAAATAAGATCACTCAATAATTTGTTATAGAACTTTTTTCTGAACATGTTCAGGAATAAAACTGTTCAAAACTTTTCCCAAAGTAGAACTATTGGGATCAGTTTTAATGTCGATTCATATGTATTACCACAGTAACGTTAAATCAAACAATTTATTTAATAAATGGCTATTATTTATTTTGAATTTATTGAACCATAAAATTTATTTTTGACTCTTCACATTGAATAATCCGCGAAGCGGATTATGTAAAATGTGAAGAGTCAAAAATTAATTTTATGGTTCAATAAATTCAAAAGAAATAATAGCCATTCATTATAAATAAATTTCTATCAAAAATAAGGCTCAAAGAGCTTTTTATACTATTTATATTAACAATAGCAACGTACACACATGTTGGCGTATGAATACACAACGTCAGAGTGGGCGTGTCGCCATAAAAATTAACAACATTGAAAATAAAGGTAATACTTTTAACCAATCAGAAGACAGTAAATACACCAAATTTATTTATTTTAAAAATGCATCCCTACACCTTGATCCACTACTTCACTCTATTAATTATCTATGTTGACTTTTTTATTCTTCGCTAGTACTATCCTGAACTTATTTCACAAATAATGAAAACCTCTTTTTCACCCGTAGTGATAAAAGGGTTGCGTTTTGTTTTCTTTGTCATATTTATTGACCAATTTATTATTTTGTATACTATATCATGTTGCTTTTGTTGAACACAATGTGTGCCTGCGTGTATTAATAAACTTCTCTCGCCTTGTCTTGTCAACTTCGGTGTCAAAGGAATGGTAAAAGCATTTCAACTTTTTTCCCTATAATTCATATTTTAGATAAAAGGATTTAAAACTTGAAAATAAGTCTTTGGTATAAGATATAGATATGGGTTTTTTCAGCCATTTGTCAAATACTTTATATTTAAAACTATTTGTATTTGTATATAATTATATCTAAGCAGTGCATGAGAAATACACTTCAAATGTTTACGTATTCTTTATAACAAATACGGATAATGTTGTAGTGTACTCTTTTAGAAAGTTAGAAAGACAATCTCATAGGTCGAGGACTGCTTTTGGGGTGTTTAATACAGATGAAATATTTTCAATTTTTTTTATTCTTTAGAGTATTCATAACAATCAGTCCCATCTGAACGCAGAGTGTTACATTTCACGTTCATAAGGCAAATATGTATACCAAATATTTAATGAACTCATCTCTGGTATAAGGCAGATTTTCTCCTCTCTCTAAAATAGCTTTCGTGGCTCTTTTTTCGATTCCGAAAATGAATATTCAGAACCCTTGCCGACGCACTTTTAAAGTCGAAAACATTAAAACGTTCCTTATGCACCGACTTGTCAGCCGCTAGCAGTTATTTGACTTTATGTATTTTTTTTCATGTACAAACCTGTTCGTGCATTTGTCATTACACAAAGGTTTTCTTTTGTTTACTTATTGTAACTCGAACTTATTTATCCTGGTGTAGGTCTTTAAGTTGGGATTCAATTTACTAAAAGTTAATCGGGCATGATTTTCCTAAAATCAGGGGGTCCAAAATAGGATCGTGGAAAAACACCCAGCGAAATACCATCATTTACAATTTTGGAAAATCTTTGATTCAATTTGCTTTTGTTTGCCTTAATATCTCCGGTCAATAATCAAACGGTATTTTAGTGGAAAACTATCCTGTCCCGAACTGGGAAATGTTGGCTGCGATTGGAAGTTATTTACACTACAAAATCCATATCTCATTTACTTATACTGGCCGTTATTGATTGTAATTTTATTACGAATTGTTTTTAGCATTCGTCTACCGTGGAGAAAAACGAGGGAATGAGCTTACGACTTTGATCGTGGTTCAACTTTATTC